TTGCTAGAGCAAATTACATGAACGATGAAGAAGACATCTTGGGTGCGTTGTGGCTTATTCATTGAATTCCTTTGAGCAGCCAATGTCCAAGTCGGAGATCTAGTCTTGTCAGACGAGTCCGGTACCAGTAAGCCGGCTCCGAATGCGCAAAAGGTCCGGGCGGGTATCGATTCGAAATCCGATACCCAAGCATAGGATGCAGCCCCGGCCTGTCTTAGTAGATGCGTCAACTCGTATAAGAAATCTGGATAAAAATCAAGTTTTTGGCGCAATTTTAAAGGTAGACGAATCGTCGCTTTCTGCGCTTCCAATATGTCCACCTTTTGTTTTACACCCTCCAGTGGTTTCCGTTGCTAGGAAGGGCAAATGACAGTGTCGCAGCAGCCGTTGTAAAGCCAATTCAAAGCTGCTGTGTTGGTGGCCGGCGAAAAGCAATCATGGCCGGACGGCATTGCGAATAAACCCCCTCATCGTATTCTCGTTCTCTATGTATGGGAAAAAGTCTAAAGTGCGGTCAGTGTGCACGTGTGTGGTGTGCCGCTTTCTCCCCCGACGTCGATTCTCTTCAATCACGCGCTCCACTCGCTCTCTGTGCTCTGCCGGTCCTCATGAATAGCAGCGCATGCTTTTGCAAGTTTTAAAAGCCATTTGTATTTCCTCGATTATGTATTCACAATGTTTCCATCCCTCTTCGATGCTGCCCGAGATTGCCAATCTATTCATTCGGATTTCAATTTTCATGGAAGTTGGTCGTCTCTTCAAAAGCGGCTCATCTCAAGCGGCTACAGTAATCCACCAACATCCTTAGTTGTCCGTTCCCATGTTTTCCCACTATACGGCTGTACACTACTTTTTTTTTACCGCAAAATTCTTGCTCGGTCGGTTCTGTAGCACAGTGGATGTCTACCGTATGCAGCATGAGTAAGAAAGTCTTGTTGGTCTGCACCTGGGATTGAACCGGCGACGAGGTGCATGCAGGCGGCAGCTTTTACCCAGTGCTCCACATCCTATTTTTTATAGGTTCTATCTTGTTATGTTCCACTCATCCACTCGTTTACCTCTTCTCTTTAGTATACCAGTAAAATCTCGCCAATAAGTAAACCTACCCATTCGGTTGCGTAGCTCATTAACTTCTTTTGTTTCTGGTTGATCGATTCCGTGGCTGAATGGCAGCCATGTCGTGGTGCTCTAGCCATAGCGAAGGACAACGACGGGGCTCTTGCATGCCTGCTTTTCTGCCGGCCTATTGACGGCCGTCCGTAGCGGTAACAAGCTTTCCTCTCCAGAAGGAGCAACTGGCATTGTTCCAGCTATTGATTACGTCTTCAAGTGCCACTCCACCTCCACCACTAAACTATGTTCTTTTTTATGGCAATAGCATTTTGGTCTGCATCTTTTTGACTTGAGCTCGTTCTTCCTCCTCAGATATAGTAATCCTTGTGTTGACTTTGAACATAGATCCATTTTGAACTTGGTTATAGTGATGAAAAGAGTATCACTCGTGGCCAACGGGTATTTCACGTCTCCGCGTGGCCTGCTGCCTCAAGGTTCAGTCCGAAAGGTAAGACGTTAACAAAAAAATCCACTTCTACAAAATTCTACAAAATTCTTCAATTTCTACTCCCTGTTCATGAGAAACTTCTACAGACCTTCCCATCTGTAGAAGTTTGGGAAAATTTTCCCTGAGCTAACGAAGGCTTTTCTCGTTGGCAGCATTGTTGAGAATAATGATTTTTAGCTTCAGTTTAATTAATTCTTAGCTATAAAGTAGTTTTTGAATACGAATTTTGCAATTTTTATAAGACTTAGGCACCTCTATTGGGTATGATTTTTTTGAAATTATTGGTCAGGGTAAATTGTTCCACCTCAGCAGTTGATCATAATTGAAATGCTTGCATTTCTAGCCTCATTACTCAGAAATTATTTCGTTGACCCATTAAAGACACCTCACGATAGTTCTGGGACATCTAGTTCAAAAACGAATAATGGAAGTGAGAGAAAAGGCAAAAGTGGCGAAGAAAACGCAAAATTTGGCATATTCAAAGAAGTAACAGCGTTCGAAAAATTAGTAAAATTAGGGATTGAACAAGAGTGTGACAATAATAGTTGCATCGAAGGGGTATTTGTACGAGCCGTCCAGATGTGTGTGTCGTTTCGTACAGGTGACCAAATAAGCTGCCTATGTGCAACGTGTGCGTCCCGATGTGTAGCGCAAGCTCTACAGCCTATACAATCCCTAGGAACTCGCTCGCCATCGGGTGTGTACGTCAGTTAAGTCGGTATTGGGGACCTTATTACGCGCTATATAGGCCATTGTTGGGCCCAACGTGTCCCTTGCCTTATTATTGAGGTCACAGAGTTATAGGCTCATCTAAGGGAGAAATCTCGTACCATTTTTTCGCAAAATGTGCCATTAATCAAATTCCCTACCTGACGCCTTCGTTATGGGCCAGGTGCTAGGAATTTTGTTACCCTCCAGTGCACTGCTTGGAGTGCCGCTCTAACAACTCCATTCAACCAAGGCTGAATTAACATGGTGGGAGTGAGAGGGATGGAGGGCTGTCGTCTTAGTGGTGCGCTCGGAAATGTCATTTCGAGTTTTCAATTATATTTTTGTTACTTCGATCTGGTAACTGCTCCCGTACTTATCAACATTATTTCAGGAACCAGTTATAGGGACCTTATTTCAATGGGTTCGTTCTATGTCTCTGAGAATTGCGTTGAATACTTGGCGATTAGGATCAGGCACTTTGTAAGGCGCTGTGCAAAAGGGCACTGGGTTCATCAAGCTTCTTTCCTCAGGGCTCCAACTATGGCGAAATTTTCACCTTGTTGGGGATTAGCCGAATAAAGTGACGCACTTCGCTCGTGACTGCTAGAGCTCCTGACAAATTAACAGTATCCCATCAGGCCGCTGAGCCACGCAGCCGCTATAACCATGACAATATTTGTTTATTTATTTGTTCTTTTCAGTATATGTACTTACTGAGGCGCAGTTGAGTGCCTAAGAAACTGAAAAAGCGGAAAAAACTTTTTTTTTTGAAACACTGATTCTGAGGGTGGTAACGTTTTCAATCTCCCGACATGATCCGATCAATTGAATCGGCAAACTGAACTCTAAGTCAAGTCCACGACCCCTTACACCACCTTTAACGGAACTTTCCTTCTTCTGAGTAACCATTCATTGCCTTTTAGCTCAAACTACACTCTGATCGAGGCGAAACACCCGGCAGTGCAGCAGCTCCACTACTGTCCGCTTTGGACGGCTATACCGAAGATGAACTATCCGAATATCGACAGGTTTTCAATATGTTCGACACAGGTATGTTTGGCTTCTAGGAGTTTCTGTTGTTTTCTTCTCTCGGTACAAAAGTAAACAAATTAAAAAAGCTTTCAACATTTATAACCAGTTAGTCTTCTAATCATACAGTATCGTTCTGAGATCAGCGACATCGATTACGCGTTTCATGTTTTGTTTAAAAACTGTTGCATTTAATAAATGTCCAGAAATCAGAGGTCACCCAGCTCTATGCATGAGATTGCTGGGCCACCTCCTTCAGTTCAGGCTTTTCCTCTTCCGTGGGGAATTCGTCTGTGCATGGTGTGACGATCGGATCCGACAAATTCCTCTGAAGTGTAGAGGTGGTTGGATAGCTATCGTCAACTACAAAAGATCTATTAAGAACTAATCATCATGGGGCTTTGATTTGGATGGCACCCATGTCAACAGAGCTTTTCAAGTCCCGGGTTCTGGGGGGATGACCCAGGCTCGCCGTTTAGCTCTGTGGTTTGAACAGAACGCTGGTTTAGCATAGAACCTGGGGGTTTCTAGACCCCCAACTAGCCAGAATCAGGAACGGTAACTACGATGTAGGAGAAGGTTCTTCAGTGGGCCAAGAAAACAGAGTTCTTCACAAATGACGGGACAGGTGACATGGACTCCGTAGGGATTGGGCCACCTCGGACGTGTCCGCCGTTGGACGCCTTTAGGCTTAGCAGTGAACAGAACGTCACTGAACGGAAACATGGGCTTACATCTTTTCCTGTCTTCGTCTTCTTCTTCTTATAGTCCACCACTTGTTCATCTTTTCTTTGGATAAGCTTATCAGCAGCGGTCTTGGTCTTATTCAATTCCGTTTCTTTCCCTTCCTCTTCATCTGTTGGGAATTCGTCCGTGACTGGGGTGACTATTGGATTCGATATAATTCGCTAAAAACCATAATTTCTGAAGATTATCATCGTATTTCTGGCTGCTCTATGTTGGGAAGGGTTACTTTCTCAATCACGCCTCCCTCCCCTCCTCCCATAGCTAGCCAAGAAGGAATTCAGTGAGGAGTCGGTAGTGGAAAGAAAACTAGAGAGCTTCGCCGGTTATTGCCGTGTTCCCGGTTGGGTTGAGTCCCGAACCTACCTCTGAGCCTTTGCCTCCTTTCGGTGACTTCGATTTCCCTTTTGGTGATTTTGACTTTGCCTTTCCTTCTTTCTGAAAACGACAGGTTTTAATGAGAGGGATGGCTTTCAGTGAAAAGTTGCTCATCTATAATACTTGTTAACATCCAATTCGATGGGAACATTCCTTGGTGCTACTTGCTAGGAATGACGTACTGTAGGGATTTTCTATCGAGACAGAGCTTTAGGGTTCATCAGAGGATAAAGTCTAAGGATCCCATTTTTGAATTGGCCCAGGAACTTGGCTTCCATTCAGATTCATGATGGCTCTTGAATAGGCATGTGGCCTTGACAAAATCAGGTGACGGCCCATATATGTAGTAGTCATGCTTCCGCCGGACGAATCTGGTACCAGTAAACTGATCCCAGAGGGATAGAATGGTTGGTTTGCCGATGCAGATGTGAATCTGAGCTCGATACCGGCATTATGGGCGTGATAGGGCGCGGCACATGGCGCTACACCCCATCCGCCCAAGTTTCTAAATGCGAGATTGAAGAAATCGTTGCTTATTTGGTCATATTTGCATCTATCTATCCGATAATCACTTGCTTCCTTTCAAAACACATGTAGAAGACAATAATGATCGCTGTAAAGTACCCATTCTCTGGGCGGAGGTCATGTAGTTTCATGTGGCCCATTGTACACCACACGCATAGCCCGGTGAACGAATCCGTCTCGCTCATCGCCCAGCCCATTAAGTCATTCGTTCATCCGAGTCGGCTAATCAGTGCAAGACTCGTCTGGGAGGATAAAAGTACTCTCTTGCACATCAACTGGTCACCGTACACTGGCCGTTGTAGAGGCCACATATGCTCCAGAACACTACTGCGATTTTAAATGGAAATCGAATGTGGGCGCATCCGAAAAACGAAAGTGATTTCCGCTAAATCTCTTTATCCTTCATCCTTTACTCGATTATCCGTTGCATGGACTGAGATTGGCCGCAAAGAGTGATGGAACCAGGACTTTTCCGGTCTGATGTCTTTTTGTCTCCTTCCTTTTCCTTTTATCTTTGCAGACAGAAACGTGAGGTTGTAAAACCGATTAGATATGGGAATTAGTTTTTTGTCTGATCTTACCGATTCACCAGACTTCTTCTTGACCTCTTCTTGCTGAACGACCTCACCATACTGAGTTGCCGCTACTAGAAAAGCGAATTGTTTAAGGTGAAACCGAGGTAGGTGAGTAGCTACAGTTCTAGCTTTCTTGATTGCGGGGTACTAGAAAAACAGAAGAAGCTGTCCATGTACCTTCAGCTCCCTTCTTCAGTTTTGAGTGGCCCTGAAATCAGAATATTGTTCAGTGTTGCTTAAGCCAAGTGTTCGAGTAGAACCTTAGGGTTATCCTGCGTTCATGAGGTGAGCATGAGTCGGTCAGGCGATAGTTAGACCCCTACAGCACATTCCCAACACGAGCGAAGATCCTTATAGGGTGCTTTACGTCCAGATGGATCACTTGCTCCGACCAGCTTTTGGCACGCTTTTGATAGAATTTTTGAGGAAGGGACGGTAGGAGAGTCGATTTGATTACACACGCAGGATTACCTTCTTCTGCCCTTCGCAAATCCTATTCTTGCACCTCGGAATAGGCTGTTTCTCCCCGCCCCACCACCATCATCTCCCCGGCCTCTCAGTGAGACAGAAATATCCTACTGGTCAATTTCTCGTCCATTACAGCTCTGACACAAAGTCATCATCCCTCTGGCATCTTTCATAGTCCACGATCGGTCGCGCGACTGGTCG